TATTTTCTTAAGCTCTTCCAATAGTTACAATAGTAATTAGATAACCTACCAGCATTATACATTAGGTAATCTACTAGCATTATACTGCTTTGCCAGCATTATAAAAATTATGCACATGATTCTATAATTTTATGCACATTATGCACATGATTATGCATATGATCATGCATATGTTATGCACATTGCACATCATTAGGGCTACCTTTCCATTTGTGTAAATGAAAATGCTTCTACTAGTTGTGGTAGATCTGATTTGAGATTTGAGAGGGCCACTACAAGGAAGAGGCCAACGATTTTGCAAAAGTCATAGTGCTGGTGATTTTTCAAAGTCAAAAGTTCTAGATCAGTGGAGTTGGTTCCATCTTGAAGAAGTTTTGAGGAGGAAAGAGGTATGGGCCTCATGTGGTGGGACATTGAATCTGCACATAATCAGTGGTTCATTGTAGTTTCTACTAGTTCTGTATAATAAATTGGCTATGTTTCTTATTTTGTTAAATACTGCAAATGAAAACAATTATGTTGTATTTGCTTAATAATAATTGTAATTAATTTTTTTTTATTATATTAGTAGTTAAGGACAAAAAGAATTAGAAGCTGTATGTCTCTAATTTCTAGAGGTTCTTCAGACGTAGAGTAGAAAATTTTGATCAATCTTAAATGTTTAATGATTATTTAATATTTTTAGATAAAAAAAGTTTGGTAAATAAAGTTAAAATAGAGAATCTGAACATAAAGAATGTATATATTGTATGTTGAAATAGAATTATTATGAATAAATATAGGTTATAACAGAATTCTAGATTGTATTTGAGTTATTAAAAAATTTATAATAAAATTTATTGGATTCTAAATTTTAGAATAAAATTTAGTGAACTCTAAATTATTTTATCAAATATATATTATAAATCACTTTGAAATTTATATTAGTTAAGAATCGATATAAGCCATTATAAAAATAATAATAATAAAACTAAAAAACATAAAAAAATAAAAATTTATAAAAAAAAATTTTCTTGTGGTATGTATATTTTTATTTCTAGTATCATATATTTTGTAACATTATTCTTTTAGTAGATTTTTTATAAAGTTAAAGTATATTCAAATCACTGGTCAAATATATGCAATTC